TTTCTGTACTTGCCATTGGTATACTTGGTTGCTAGGGGGTTTTTTTAAATAAAAAAATGGCATGCTTCCACACAATGTTGACATTATTCAGTTAGTATTCTGGAAGGATGCACTTTAAAATATTCATGTTTTTATTCTACCACAAAAAAATCTGACTTTTGTGAAAGATCCAGAATGGATCCTTAGTATATTCATTTGTGTGCCATGCAGGGCCGGCCAACCCATGAGGCAGGTGGAGGTAGCTGCCTCAGGCAGTGGAAGCCCATGAGGCGGCACCCCTGCAGGCACTCTTTCCATCCCACTGCCTCTGCCGCTGATAACGGTGGCAGTTTCCAATGAGATCTCATGAGATTTTGCCAAAATATGCAAGATCTTGCTGAAATTGTCAGTCTGCATTTCTTAGTACAGAAAGTATTGATCTGATGTGTAGAGCTCTTTCCTATTCTAATTAATTCAAAAGAGTTCTGGAAGCTTCTCTGTACGAAAGAAACAAGCAGAAGGTTCATGATGTTTGGGCTATTCCTTCAGAAAAGCTGAGTAGAGCCGGTTGAAACTGGTTCTCTTATCTCTTTCTGTCAAGGTCATGCTGACGATAGAAGTAAGGCCGGAAGATGCCTGGTTTTCACTTTCTTTTTCTATCTCTTTTCCTTTTGGCGTGGTGTTCTGTATATAGTGTTAAGATTTAGGCTTATAAGTTATTGTAAGTTTCAGTTACCACATTTGTTCATGTATTGGACGAGGTTTTTTGACTCAAAAATCACCTCAGAAAACTAGGCTCGTCCAATACACGGATAGCAGTATGGTGGGGGGGAGAGAAGCACCGCGCCACCAGCCATTCAGTTGGCGGGAGCACGACTTCCCCAAATGCCACAGCGAGTGGGGAGCGATCTGGGGGGTGTTTCCTGCCCACAGCTGGGGGGGGGGAGAAGCTGCATGCCACCAGCCAGCTTTTTTGGGGGAGCACATATTCACCCGATGCCTGGGAAGCACTCCCTGGATCGTTTCCCGTGCATGGCGGCATCAGGGGAGGTTGAGCTCTGCAAACTAGATGGCTGGAGGGTGTGCAAATTTACCCAATGTCACTGCACGCGGGAAACGATCTAGGGAGTGTTTCCTGCCCGCAGCTGCGTGGGGGGAGAGGCTCAACAACTTTGGGTCATCTCCCCTCATTTTCTTTAAATTTAGTCCCCCAAAATGGAGGGGAGTCTTATATAAGGAGGTGTCTTATAGATGGAAAAGTACGGTAAGTCTGCTGCAACTGGATATCTTATGGACTGTGCCAATCCTGAATGTATTGGATTTGTGACCATTATGCTCATTTGCCTTCAGTAGCAGCAAAGCTCTGCTGGATGAAATATTACCTTAAGGTCCATGAATAACCATAGTTTAGAGGTCCCAGGCCCTAAGGAAGTCAGACTTTCCTCCACCAGGGCCAGGGCCTTTTCAGTGATGGCTCTGACCTGGTGGAATGCTCTGTCCCATGAGACTAGGGCCCTTCAGGGTTTAACCTCCTTCCATCGAGCCTGTAAGACAGAGCTATTCTACCTGGCCTTTAATTTGAATTCTTCCTGATCTTTTATTTCCCTTCTCTTCTCTACCCCTCTCCCCATTTATCAAGATTGCCCTCTCTGAGACCCCACAGCTAATTCTCCCCTGGCCTCCTTGCTGGCCCAAGTAGGACAAATTCAGCCAGCTAGCCCTGGTGATTATCAAATGCTTATTAGATGGATTTCCCCTAAATTGATTTCTGAACTTTGAATTTTATTGTTATTCATGTTTTTATACTGTGTTTTATGCTACTTTTACAATTAAGTGTTTTAAATTTGTTGTTAGCCGCCCTGAGCCCGGTTTTTGAACCGGGAAGGGCGGGGTATAAATTTTTTAAAAAAATTATTATTTATTATAATTGCCTCTGGTCTATTTTGGGGAAATACTGCAACGTATTTAAGTTTTTACTCTGCTAACTGTACGTTGGAATCTGCTCTGGATCAATATCGAGTAGAATTCCATGACAGAAATCTCGTGAGATCTCGTAGGAACCTGCTGGTGCCACTTCGCAGGCACCACTGTGTAACTCAGGTAAGGGAAGTTTTCAGCCAGGCAAGGCAGCACAGAACCTCCCCGTTTTGCCTCAGGCAGTGAAACAGGACACAATGCCCTTGGTGGTATGTCCCAGTTTCACTGTGTAGGGAGTGGGGATTGGTGGGCTTTGTTTGGGCCACTTGCCTCTGACCGGTGCAAGCTGTCAGTATGTGAGCTCAGTTTAGAGAGATACAGCAGATAGAAACAGTGGTATTAGGTCAAAGCATTGCCCGTGACAGCAAACATTAGCAGCAGATGAAATTTCTTCATGGTAACCAGGGTCACCACAATAATTCCCCTTCTAATCTGTTATATTTCCGCAAGATTTAGAATTCCAGAATGCTATACAGAGAATGCCCTTCCCCAGGCCACTACCACCACTCCAGAATTTCTGAGGGCAGTGGAATTACAGTGGTACCTCGGGTTACAGATGCTTCAGGTTACAGACGCTTCAGGTTACAGACTCTGCTAACCCAGAAATAGTACCTCGGGTTAAGAACTTTGCTTCAGGGTGAGAACAGAAATCGTGCTCCGGCGGCGTGGCAGCAGCGGGAGGCCCCATTAGCTAAAGTGGTACCTCAGGTTAAGAACAGTTTCAGGTTAAGAACGGACCTCCAGAACAAATTAAGTTCTTAATCCGAGGTACCACTGTACCAGGTTGGTCCATTTTTGGAAGTGGATTTGGAGATAGGAGTGGAAAAACTGAAGCACAGTGGTCAGCTGCCAAGAGAATAAGCAAGAAAACAAGCAAGAAAACAAGCAAGAAAAAAATTTGTGACAATAACAGAAAACTTGAGGTGAGGACCAATGTAATGTGAACAGGCATCTGCTCCCGATAACGGAATTCTGTATGTACTGTCACACCTCACCCTTTCCCCCCTGTGTTTGTACCAAATTGCAGCAATACAAACAGAGTAACTTTTACTCTGGCAGAGTTTTACTCTTCATCCTTCTCGCCCACTATGAAAAATATCTCTGTCTGGATATGCATGTACTTAAACCGACAAGGATTCTGGTGCAACATCTTTCCATTGAGGAAAACAAATTTGCAATGACAGACTAGATTGCATGAAAATCCAGTTAATTAGAAATGGATTTCCTTTAGATAAAATAGTGACTGTATTGGGATTTTCCTCTGACATGTATCATTGTAATTGAGGCTTAGTTTCCAAAGTATCAACATGTAGAGTCAAAATATATAGGTTTTTTTCCACTGACAAACTAAAGCTGCTGTTTGATTGTCTTTTTACAGAGACTCAAGACTGCAGACAGTTTTTTATTTTTAAAGAATGCTTCAAATTATGTCAAAAGAAAACAAGAGTCCACAAAATTGCACACTATGGGGAAAAAACTAATTATAAATGTTCCAGTACAATGTTTAAATGTCTGATTTGGAAAATAAAGAAAGGCCAGCTTTTTATTATGTATGTAGCCTGAATACAGTTTTATTATATCAATGGAATATGATAGTTTCTCCCCCCAAATAGTTTTCTACAAGAACTTTTTAAATCAAGGCACGTATATTTTTTAGTGATGTGAAGTTCCTTTTCTCGTTTTGGTTCAAGGAAGACAAAAATGAAGATAGACTACAGCATATCCCTTCCACATATTCTAAATAAATTAATTTTTACAGTACCTCATTTCTTATGGTTCACCCTTGAGTAAATCTGTGAGTACTTTTTAGAATGCACAAGGGGAAGTACATTTATAGGAACTAATATAATGCTTTCCCTTTTAAACATGTATGTGGCTGTAAGGGAAGAAAATCACGGACGACATCCATAATGCCCTCCCCATTTGCACAATGGAAATCCTGCTTGTGCAATGGGAATCCCCTTCCTTCTTATATGTAAGTGTGTTTGTTTGTTTCTCTCTCTGTATGTGTCAATGCCTAGAGAAATTTCAGAACACTCAACAGTTGTTAAACAAGATTTCCTGTGGCTAGAAGGGGGACGTTTCAGTGCCATACAGAGTTCCTTGCCACTCCCTAAGCCTAGTAGACAACCACATTGAACTCAGTAGGTACCCAAACTGGTCTGTAGACTGCCAATGGTCCACAGCCTTCATTGAGGTGGCCTGCGGCATATTCGCATTAGATATTCATAGGGACAATTATCTCAGTTATTTATTGTACTTTATAGTTTTCTTTCCATGGAATGTGTTTGAATCCACACCTGGCAGCCTGTTTTACCAGGATCAAAACAGCCTCAAAAAATAAACAAGTGTGCCCTTTCTTCAGCTCCACCAAGATAATTGTTTCCCAAAGATCAAGAGAGCTTCACCTGATTTATCTACTGATCCCACCAATTAAAGGTTGCAGTCCTAAACTAATTAAATAGTCCCAATATATTCACAACCGGGGTATCTATCTGGCCGAACTAAACATTGTTGTCATTAGAGGATAAACTTGACAATGTAATTATCCTTTCCTCCCCACCACGCCATTCGATTGAATACTTGTCCTTTGGAAAAATGGAAACTGAAAACAAATCTAGAAATGGCTGCTATCAGAATTTCTGAAGCCACAATCTAGGAGTAAGTCCTATTGAATTAAATAAGACTTACTTCTGAGTAAACATGCATTGGCTTGCACTGTGACTCTGTTAATTTAACAACTTCTAATTTACTCTAAAGTCCTTCAGAGCATTTAGCTAACAATAATTCAGAACGTTGAGTATGATTATTTCTTCAATACTGGGATGCCCGCCAATGATTTTTCCCCCCCTCTCTCCAGTGGCAGTTTAAAAATTCAAATGCACAATAGTTTCATTAATTTAGACCTTTCCTTTTGTTTGTTTCACAGTGGGAGGGGGGACTATTAGTTGTAGGACTATAGGTATGGATATATTTTTTAAGCGTTCAAAGAATTCATAGCCAACAATTCTTTTAAAAATAAAAAGCAGCAGACTCTCTTGTTGGTGCTTTCTCATTTCCTCCAATTTGCATCTTTCCTATAAATTCACAGATGCCAACAATAATTATGGGAACGTTTTATGCCTCCTCCATGTCTGATGTGATAATGCAAAGTATCTTTTGCATTCATATGCAATGTTTATTCATCCCTTCTTCGTTTGCATAGCTGAATGAAATGTTAGATGCTCATTTTATGAGAATAGCTGCAAACCTCAGGATAAATGTTTTGCCTAAGGAAATAAAAGGTAAAGGGGGGAAGAATATTTAACAACATATTACAAACAATACCCCATGTCTTAAATGTACTACAGGTAAATTGCTTGTATACCTGCTTGTGAAACCTGATTAAATCTAGAATGCACAGAGGTGGAAGGTTGCTTCAGGCTCTTGACATGTTGTATCCTGGCTTGTAAGTCTAGTTTGTCTGGTGAGATCAGAGGCAAGGAAGCTTTTTCAAACCAAAGGCCACATTCCCTTGTGTGTAACTTTCTGAGGGCTGCAAGCCAACAGTGGGAGTGACCCAATCAAAAAGTGGGTGGGATCAAAAGTAGGTGGAGTCAAAGCCATATAAATATTTCATTTGTTCACACACACTCATACACAACTCAGTTACACAAAGCCACTTCCGCCCTGCAGAGGAGGTGGGATTATGGGCATCACAGCCCCACCACGCACGCGGCGGCTGGAGCCCAGCCCCCGAGCGATCAGGGGAATCCCCAGCCGCATCATCCCCTGGACAGCCAATCGGCTGGCTCGGGGGTGTGGCCTGCCCAATTTAACGCAGGGGCGGCCAGGGATCTCCCTCTTTTGCCGCTTCCAACTGCTCCGGTTTCCCACCCACCCACCCTTTAAGGTTTTGTCTTTGACCTTGCTATAGACCTTGGTTGGTCGCCGTTAAGGGGCCTGGTAGGAATTTTTCCCACTTAGCAAATTGGCACCAGCCACTTGGTTTTTCGCCTACCTCGTAGCAAATCGTCACAACGTCCTTGGTATTGGCAGTTAGGCATTGGTATAGGTATTGTTGTGTAGATGAAGGGGGGAGGAAGCGCCATCACCTCCCCTGCATATTGAAGGGTAGTCCGATAAAGGATTCTGGGGGGCGTGGCCCTGTCCAAAGTCTATGGTGGTGAGGGCCTAAGGCACGCCCCCGAGCGGTGACCCCGGGGGAGATCCTAGTTGATGTGCAACAGCAGGACTCCCCCTACTGGTGGTTAACCCTTCCCAGACTTCAAGCGAACAGGCTGAAGCCAGATAGTCGGTTAGGACCAATGCCTATGCCAATACCTCTCATCACCTGTAACCAATAAAGTTGTGGCCTTATTTAGCCCATTAACCTTAATTAATTGTGTCGTGTGTCTTTATTTCCACTGGGGGAGGATGGGAACTCACCACGCAAATCCATCCATTCACATCTACGCAGCCCATCAAAACACGTCTTTCCATTCACACACAGAGTGAAATCTAATGAATAGTTACATTCCAATTGCATATTCGTGTGGGAGCTATGGATCAGATTAGTTCATACTGGAATTCACAAAGCTTGTATTTCTCAAGGACATGATTTAGTGCAGGCATAGGCAAACTACAGTTCCCATCATCCCTGACCACTGGTCCTGTTAGCTAGGGATGATGAGAGTTGTAGTCCCAAAACATCTGGAGGGCTGAGTTTGCCTATGTCTGATTTAGCAGTATAGGAAGGCACTTGGGTGAATTGCAGCCTTGGACACCGTCTTCTTCCCTTTCCTCTGATGCAGCCATGACAAAGAGATCAGAAGCAGGGCTTCCAGGGTTAAACTAGCCATTATTTGTTGCTACAGCTAACTACAACAAACTGTAGTTAGTTTAAACTGTGGCTCATTATAGCCAGGATCAAACAATGGTTCCTTAACATGGTTTTTTCCCCAACAAACCCTAGTTTAAACCAAGGATAACTCCTTCGTTCTGGTCCCAAGGAGGAGCCCATGAGCCAAGGTGGGTTGGTTCTCACAGCTCCAAGGAGAGCTCCCCGTGCTGGCTGGAAGTAAAGCTGGGACTTTTGAGCCACTGCCTCCAGTCTACCTCTTCTGTGCTCTGTCCCCTTGAGTGGACCACTAGATTCTCTTAAAGGGTCAACCCTTTGGACTGAAGATGTGTGTGTCTCATTGGATCCATGGGCTCCTGTGCCAGACTAGCAAAGTACTGTGAGAGACCAAAGGCCCAAAAAGATTGTCCAGTACATTCTTAAAGCTTTGCCTTCTGCTTTGCTTTGCTTCCTGTGTTGAAAAGGCAATGCTGGGCTTCCCAGGAAGTAAGCATCAGGGTTGTGCTATTGCACAACCAAGCTCCACTTAAGATACATAGAAAGCTGTCTTAAACCAGGTCGGACTAGCTTCAGTATTGTATCCTGTGACTAGTAACTGTCTTCATTGCCTCAGACAGAGGACTTTCTCATTACCTGCTGTCTAATCCTATCTATTTCTTTTCTTTTTTTACAAAATATACTTACATGACGTGCACAGAATTTGAAACACTTGTCAATGCGGCTTACACAATGCGTACAGAATTTGAAACATAGATTTAAACTTCAGAAAATAAGAATACTAGAGCAAAATCCTCCTGGAGTCAAGTCCTCCTGAAATAAAACTGTTTTGACCTGACATCTGAATCTTTTCAGTGAAGATGCCTGCCTGGTTTCTACTGGGAAGGAGTTCCCTAGAGTTTGGTCCACTAACATGACTCCTTGGTGATCCGAGTCGTGCTTCTGGACCATGGCGGACAACAAATAGTGCCCCCCCCCCCATCACTGATTTGCTTGGGATGTAAGGGGCAATATCCTGGGCCTAAGTTGTTCAGAGCTTTGTACACTAATACAAGGACCCTGAACCTTATTTGGTGGTAGATGGGAGGCCAATGCAGGCCTTTTGACATTGATGTTATTTGTTGGCGGTACCCTGTTCCCATCACCAGACAACTTGCAGCATTCTGCAGTAGCTGAAGCTTCCAGATTAGACCTAAAGGTAACCCCACATAGAGCTTAGAGCAGAGGTCCTGTCTTGAGGTTACCAGTACTGCAATCAGGTTGTCCCTGTCCAGAAACTGGTGGTGTTGGGGGGACAAATCATGGGCTGTATCATTAAGATATGGTCCTTCTCACTTCAGAATGCTGCTTCTATGTTCTTCTGCGCAGATCCTCAACTGCATACAGTTTCCAAATTTGGACGGCCTCATTTTCCATAGTTTCTGACCCCACTCCACAAGAAAGTGGAAATACTTCGGCCAGCCTATATACTGCAAATGCAACAGATTTATGATGTCATGTTGATGCTGGCTGGAACGCGTGTGATTATCCAAGCCATTTTAAGTTATTACTGCCCAGCAAAGTGACTATCACTGAAGCGAGTCAAAAAAAGGGCACCAATGCCATGCAGTTCAACATAGCCTCCCCGGATTGCTATATTATATTCTGAGAAGCAATTTGAGTCACTACTGGGAATGTGTTAAACCCATATTAGAGTAGCTTAAAGTAAATCCATGCCATTATCTAGTGAACAGAAGAAGTTGCTAAGTAAATACACAGCAGAAGGATAAACACATTCAATCAGAGAGACGTACAGAATGGTCATCTTCCCACTCACCGCAATTTTACTTTCCACTTCTACTGTGCTCACTCATTAATGGTTCTCTGGATCTGATATTCTACACAAAACTAACCCCTTCAGTCAATGGATAAATGTGGGTGGGTGGGTGGAGGGGGGTTTGCTATGAAACCATTCCGAACCACATCCCAACTTGTATAACTCAGGACGGTTTAGACAGGATACTTGCTGTGTTGAGCACAGGGATGGGAAAGAAAGTTGACTGAGTTCTCATTTAAAGGTGAAACTACCTAAACTACCTAGTCTGCATGTTCCGAAACAATACACAAACCAAAACAGAGAAAACCTTTGAAATCATCACTTCTCTGAATTTTGCAAGGCAATTATTTAGCCAACTAAAATACATATATTGGGGAGGGTATATGCAAAAATGCTATCAATGAGGGACAATGGATTTTCACCAATGTGAATATTAGGCAAAATTCCATACACAAATATTATGAGAAATTTGCATTTAAATGCTGGTGAATTTTCAGAAGGACTATTTTTAAAAAATCACAGTTTTGTAACTGTTAGGAACTGAACTCTAGAGACATGGAGAGAGACTGAAAATGGCAGGTTTCCTGGGTTGTAGCACCTGGGGCATCTGACACCTCCACTTGGCAAGAAATTGCTATCATGAGCAACTTGTGGGCAGGCGTAGGACCCAGTGTGTAAATACTGTCAAACGACTCTCCGAAACCTGGAGACGGCCTTCTTGTAATCATAGCCACAAGACGAAAAGGCAAGCCACTTGAAGCATTTAAACTGGTCCTGAACATAACCATTTGAGAATAATCAAGCCATGACTGTGGCTGGGTTGTCCCAAAGAGCTCTTATTCTTGATAGTAATTTCACTAGTAAAAAGTACTATGAAACCCTACTTACTCCTCCAATGTGCTATAACCCCCTAACTAATAAAATGAATTTTTAGCTAAGAAAATGGCATTGCGCTTCGAGGCCCCCAAGCCCTTCCCCTGAAAATAACTTCATATTGACAAGTAACTTTAGTTTAAGTTATTGGGCAAAATTTAGGCCACAACTTTATTGATTACAGCAAAGTGAGCGGTATTGGCTTAGGCATGGGCAACAGACTATAACTGACTCCTGCCGCTCTGGCTGGAAGTCTGAAGGGTAAACACCAAACGAGGGAGCAACATCGATGAAGTCCGACCGAAGCTCACCCCGGGGTTCCTGTGGTCCTGGCATGGCCCTAGCCCCTCAAGAGGACTTCGGACAAGATCCAAGACCCCCAGATTCCTTTACTGGAATACCCTTATTCATGGAGGGGCAGGTGATGGCTGCACCTCCCCTCCCACACACTTCAATAAGCCAATGCCCAACCGCCAAACCTTACAAAGTTGTGACGATTGCTAAGGGGGTAGGCAAAAACCAAGAGGCTACAGCCAATCTGCCAAATGGAAAAAAATCCTACCCAGCCCCTGCTCCAAAGCAGGTGACCCAATCCAAAGCAAGGCCAAAGCAAAAGCACCTAAAATTAGGGAGGGAGAGTGGGTGTTCGGCAGAGCGAAGCAAGCGCCCCCAGTTACATTGCGCTGCCGCTTTTATAGGCCCCAGGAATCGCGCCAACCGCCCCAATTGGCCCAAGCAGCCTAACACGATCCTGGGGCCTAACAGTTAAGGCTTGGGCCATGCCCGACAAGAATTCTCCCAGCGGGGGTGCCTTAGGGGCCCACACGCAACCAGGACCCTCACTAAAGAGGATCCCATTTGTCTCTAACACTCTCTAACCCCCAAGCTAACACAATAACCTCCTAACTAATCAAATGGCTCCCTAACTGATAAAACGACTCTCTTTCTCCTCCTCCTCCTCTCCCTCTCTCCTTGTATCTCTCTCTTTCTGCTACCTCACAATCTCTTTCGCTCTCCCTGTCTTCACTATTTCTCTCTCTCTCCTGTGTGTTATGGTTACTGTAGCTGCCATGATTAATACAAACGCACATTGTTTCTCTTCCTGCAAATTTTTATAGCTGGATTAAGCTGCTGCTGTTGCTGCTGTTTTGATTTTTACTTATTTTAAAGCTCTTCTAGGCCACTCTTTTTCTCATGGCTTCAAGTGCAGTGTCCAATCATAAAATAAAAACTGCCTCCAGACCCCAGATCACCACTTTCACTGCCTGTCCAAATTCTGATGAGAAGGACAGGACTCATTGACTATTTATTTATGGATTACCCAGACTTCGTCTTAAGGTTCCAGAGCAGGTTACAGTCTTAAAAGCCATTTGAAACCATTTACAACCATAAACATTAGCTGGGTCCTAAACACATGCACCTCAAGTGTCAAAAGCCAGGGTAAAAATGTGCTTTATTTTTTTAAAAAAAGCTAAAAGACTAGGGCCTCTGTTGGACTGGAGCTGAGTTTGTGTAGCTCCTTATCGTCAGCCCTGCCTGCTGTAATCAAATGGCACATTCCCATCCACTCCACTGGATTTCAGAATCTATAACATTAACCATTCAATTTAAAGCCACAAGGATTTATAAAGACTTTATATTCCCTGCTGTTTTTTATGGCTGGACATTGAATTTTTAATGTATGATTAACTGCAATAGTCTCATTGGAGATCTAGAAGCTTTTCAGGCAAATATGTTACAGGCACTGTCAGCATGTGATGCTGATAAAATCTTATTTGCATTTTTCATCTTAGAAGGGAGTATTGTTTTCTTAACAGTAAGAAGCCAATGTGTACAATCTCTGCAGTGGAAATTAATGTAAATCGTGGCAGATGTAGACTTTTGTTTGCTTGTTACCCAGGGGTTTCTGTGGTACTTAAGAACAAATGGGATTAATTTGTTCTTAATCTAAAAAAACACATCTGTGTTTTGAAATACATAAAAAGCTGCTTCTGTGCAGTTTAATGAGTCTAACATTGCACAAATGTTCTCAAGTAGCATCGTTGGAGGCAGCCCATCAAATCAGCAAATGCGTTCAATCTACAATCAAGTTGAGCTAGGGATCAAGTCTACACATACAGCAGAATGACATGAATGAATGCTAACATGGGAAGAGAGGGCTAATACCATACAGGTGGGAGGTGCCATTTTGTAGTGCACCTTGAGATTGAAAATTCCTGGCAAAACAGAAAGAACAAAATTAATTAACACAGGAGAGAGAGCGTTTTTGATCTTCACCTGTAATCTGAAATGGTACTGCTGATTCACCTCAACTCTACCACCTCACTCCACTGTAAGCGCAGGTCAAGCCTAAACCAGCTTGAAATTGAGCATTTTAAGAACCAGTTCTATATCCCAGGGGTTAGCAATCAATAAACCTGACGGTCCCATGGTTCCTCTGAAACGTAATGCTTAGCTTGGTGCTGGTAATCCTGGAGGATAGGAGCCCCATCAAGAGCATAGCCAAGTACAGTGGTTCTTTGGTTCTTGGACTTAATCCATTCTGGGAGTCCATTTGACTCCCGAAACTGTTCGAAAACCAAGGCGCAGCTTCTGACTGGCTGCAGGAGTTTACTGCATACAAGTGGAAGTCATGTTGGACATTTGGCTTCAGGAGCCAAAATGTACCAGCACCAAGGCATTTGAGAACCAAGGTACGGCTGTAAATAAATAAAAATACTTAACTAAAAGTAGAAATAATCAGAACTTTTGAAATTGAATACTCAGTGAGCTATCAATGAGCTATGCTTACTGAGTATGCACAGCAAAACTGCACTGGAAAAAAGTAGGAATTGAGAAAGGTGCTGAAAAGGTTTTCAGCAAATCCAAGAAAACTTGTTTTAGTTTAGATTTTTTAAAAATAAGATGGAATTTCTTTGTAATTTTGAAAAACAATACTCATTAACCGCATGAAAGGTACACCTCAGTGTTTGTTTGTTTTTTAAATTAACTTCTTAGTTTTCAAATGACTAAAGATTTTCAGATTTTTCTAAGTGTCTAGGTTCAAAAGAAAGTAATTTTAAATAACTGCTGTTGAGACGTTTCATTGTCCAGGCCCATAAAAATATTATTCAAACTTTTGACGGCAGAACTTTTCAAAACAAAACGTAAGTATCAAAGATACAACCAAAATATCTATACAATGTCTTGTGCTACCCAGCACAGGCTCAGCATCTTAGAAAATATGAAATAATCCAAACAGACCTAGAAGCAGAGGATCACCTCTTCCCACAGACTGCATTCCAGATTCCATTGGCCTTAGGCTGTTTACTCTCCCTTCAGGAGTGCTTCATTTACATCTTTCTGTTCTCTGTCATGTTCAGAGAAAGACTGACAGCCACCACCCTTTCAGGATGGCGAATTTGTAACTCAGTACCCTCGTCAAGTGATCAAAAGTTACACGCAGTTTAGAGTAACAGAAAGCAATCAACAGGTAATCATTAACCCATTTAGACGCTCAGAGTTCTTTGGAAAACAATTGTGGAAAACCCCCAATGTTAGCAATACACATTTAGCCATTTTCCATTTTAAACCTTTATTAATATACATACATTTTTCATTATTGTGTGAATTAAATCAATTATATTTAACTGTCCTGACCCACAAAGACCACCAGCCATTCTTGACTTACCACAATCTTCTGCACAAACAGGGGTCCTAATAAATTAAAGCTGGGTAGTTCACCAGTTGCTCAGAGTTCACTTAAGATGACATGCACAAGAGAGACGTCACAAAACATGACAGGATGCCAGCTTTCCAATGTGATCTCACAAGCACTATGACAGACAGAAGCAGCAGAGTCAATGTTTATGGCAAGAACGCTAAAGCCAACATTTATGATGAAGTACCTATCAAGTAAAACCCAAGTATTCTAGCTTAACTAGTTTGTGAAGCAGCCTTTCAGAAAGAAAGCATTATGTTGTCTGTTTACAGGTTTGTTTGGTTATATATATATATATATACCCACACCCACACACCTAATAACTATTTTTTCCCCTTTACCATCCACCTCGCAAACAACCCAATCTTATTTCGGTTTGCTTTAGTGGCTGCAAAGCAATATCCTGGTAAGAATATTGCTGGGAGCAGTAATTGAGTGAAATAGGCTATGAATTCTTCTCCTGTCCCGGTCTAGCAAATACATGGCATTAAAGAATAATTGTCTTCAGTTTGTGGCAACATCAACAGGAGTACTTTACTGTTGAAAGCAAAAAATATGAGATAAAAAAGCACCCGGTACTTTTCATCACCGTTCAATTGCAGCGATGTCACATTTTCTCTATCACCCTTTAACAGTTTTAGATCCAGTTCTGGAGAGTTACACTTGGGCCATTTCAAATCAAAGTGGAGTGAAAGTTATAGAGGGAGGGAGGGAGGGAGGCAGCCAATGCCAGTTTGTGAAACCTGGGCAAGTTCAAGAGTGTTGTATTAATTTACAAGGGCCTTAACAACTTGGATACAAGATCTTGGCTGCCTGATTCCTTATAAGGTAAAGGGTAAAGGGACCCCTGACCATTAGGTCCAGTCGTGGCCGACTCTGGGGTTGCAGCGCTCATCTCGCTTTATTGGCCGAGGGAGCCAGTGTACAGCTTCCGGGTCATGTGGCCAGCATGACTAAGCCGCTTCTGGCGAACCAGAGCAGCGCATGGAAACACTGTTTACCTTCCCGCCGGAGCAGTACCTATTTATCTACTTGCACTCTGACATGCTTTCGAACTGCTAGGTTGGCAGGAGCAGGCACTGAGCAATGGGAGCTCACCCCGTCATGGGATTCGAACCGCCGACCTTCTGATCGGCAAGTCCTAGCTCAGTGGTTTAACCCACAGCGCCACCCACGTCCTGATTCCTTATACCCCTGCCCAATCACTGAGATGTTTGGAAGAGTCACAAGATTGTATCCTTTCCACTACCGAATTGAACTTCTCTTGCACAACAGAACTTCCCCCTTCTCTCCTCTGCAGGCCCCCATGCACCCTTAAGATTTGCTCCAGAGCGTTGGAGGACCCCCTGGAGCAGATTTTGAGAGTGCTTGGGGAGAAGAAGAGAGGAGAGGAGAGTCCCATTGCGCCCAAGGCCCTCTGCACATGTGTAGCATTGGCTGTTAGTTAGTGGTCCCCCACGTGTCTCATGTATGACTCATATCCACCAGGAGCTATTCATTCAGTATTGTAGCCAGGGCTGGATTTAGGTTTGATGAGGCCCTAAGCTACTGAAGGTAATGGGGCCCTTTAAATGTCCAGCTGTCCTTTGTCAACAACAAATTGTCGCTGTTTTTTGTGTTGAATATATGCTATATGGGAATTTATGGACCTAATAGGTATCTAAAGCCATTTGCACATAACAAAATATGTACCTGTATTTTATCAAAGTAATTGTTGAACTGAAATACATTTAAGAAGAAGTATATTAACAGTGAAATACAATTAAGAAGTATATTTGGGGGCGGGCCAAGAGAGTGGGGCCCTAAGTTATAGCTTGTTTAGCTTATACATAAATCCGGCACTGATTGTGGCCCAATTCTGAGGAACTCTCTTGGCTGAGATTGGACAGACCCCTGCCCTCTTGAAATTCCAGCACTTATTGCTGACTTTTTAAATTTCAACAGGCATTTTCAGTTACTTTTTCTCATTTTATGGTTAATTTTAACTGATTCTATGTCATATCCCTCTTCAACGCCACTTAAAATCTGTTGAAGTACATAAACAAAGTGTTTTCCCCGTTCACCCTGTCCTTCCTTACTTCCCCATCTGCTTTTGCGGCACTATCTCCTCACAGTACACAGTCTGGGTTTTCTCCTAGGTCTCTGCAAAGCTTACAACATCTTAATCAGTCAGTGATGAACGTTTGAGCAAGTTGGCCGTTGAGTCCAGTGGAGACCAAATTCAAAGGCCAGGCAGGCCCTTATCCTTTACGAGAGGCACAAGTTGCACCCAAGATTGAGGGGGCCTGGTGCACGATGTGCATGCATGATATCGTGTGCAATGCGCATTGTGTGTGTGTGATGTCATGCGCCCAGCATGCGCAACATCGCATTATCAGGAGGGGGCAGAGCGTGGAGCTCCTCCTCTCTCATGCTCAGGAGGAGCCAGCCACAGAAGCCACATAGTGCTCAGCTCCACACTTAGCCTCCTCCACCCCCTCAACATTGAGGGGGCCCAGTCCCTTCCCAACGGATATTGGGGAGGCCTAAAACACCTTAGCCACATAGAGTTGGCACCCTTGTCCTTTGCTGTAGCTTGGCACTTTGGAACATTTAGGGGGTTATGTTTTACCTGAGATTTCATCAGATTAGCCCAGAATTGGCTGCCATTATATTCTCTTCAGAGCCTTGCTACCTTGAGTCCAGTTTGCAGCCCTCCCAAAAAGCGCTTGATGGCTTTATCTGTTTTACTTACGTGAAAACATTATTTCCCGCCTTTCTAGTGCTCGTGCAGCTTATGACAATTTTGAAACACAATGCCATATGACGTATTAAAAATTTAAAAATCTGCAACATTAAAATACAGTTCAAAAGCAACAACAGCAGAGATTGTACTTATGATGATGTCACCATGTATTGAGCAACCCGGTACACAAAAGTACTGCTTCTGATTTTTTTATTGTGTAGGGGGTTCTATGTGTATTGCTTGCCTTAGTAATATTAAATAATATTTTTATATTTTTATCCTGTTTCATGCTATTGGGGTCATGTTGCTGCTTTAATTACATTTAATTACATTTCGCCACAGATACCATTTCCTCTTGCTTTCTAGCTCAGTCACGTGGTTGGTCTTGCCAGTAAGGAATCACACAGCAAATGGAATGATGTCATAACACCAAGTAGCCAATCAGATATGTCTGTATCATGACATCAGCTGAGAGAAGGAGGGGGGAAGCATTGAGGTTACTAAGTGAACATGTTCACAATGGAATTGTTCCCCCCAAAAAATAAATGCTGGAGAAAGGAGGTGGTTTTTTGGACTGCTGAAAGTGTTCAGAAAACAGCCAGTAGCTTCAGCTGAGTTTTAGTTAGATTATTGTTTCATAAAATCAGAAGAGACAGCAAGAGCAGGAAGATCTGACTGGTGAGTTATATGATATCATCCCTCATGCTTCTGATCCGTAATTGCTACCTATGGACTCTGAGTTTCAGGTGTTTGTCTGCAAGATGCTGCAGGTGGGCAGGTCACAGGCTATTCACCCCACCCATATTTCTACATGTCATAGTTCAGTCTAAGCCACACTGTCTAAATTAAGGCCTGTCTGCATCCAGTCACATCCTCTATTTTTAGGGTTCATGATATCACCTGCTTCATTTTTCATACCCCTAGTGTGAAGAACAAAAGTCTGCTCCCGCTACATGCAACAATAAAACATAATAAATTACAGTTCTTGGAACAAAAACTTTTAAAGAGTGGCAAGAATTGAAAGCATGAAGCAGGTATTCTTCATGTGATGAAAAGGTATTCTGGACATAACCCACCAGGACCTTCTCACAGAAAAGTGAGATGAATGGAAATTAGAGGAGAGCATGTTTATTTCTTTCTAATTTTAGTTCGCCTTAGGAGAGAACACACGTACAATTCTGCATTCATTGTGAGTTGTTACCATAAATACAATACATTAGCAAAACTGGTTTTGAGTTTGCTTTTAAAAAGATAAATAGATGCCGTATTGTAAATATCAAGAAACTACAAAGGAGACTATAACTTTCTTAATGAGAAAAGCAGACTGTGGGTTGTATCCTGTTTCGTTCCATTCAGAGTTGTCCCACTCTGAGTGGAACTAACAGTGGCTACAACCCACTATTACCAAGGCATCCAGTTGAGAGGATGATTTGCATAAGGACTTTGCAATCGTGAGGATGAGCATAAAATTTGATAGATTGAGAACCTAGTGAGATCCATAGCTTGACCCGAGCCTGCATGTCATGGATGTATAAGGAAGATGTCCAAAGTACTGCTAGCTCATTTTTAGACATTGACTGCCCTAATGTTCACAGCTTGGCAATAAAAAGGGAAAAGGGAAAGTTGGTGTGTTCCAGCAAATGCCACGGACTGGCTCGAAACATTGCCATAAGCAGGAAAACTGGACCAAGGATGTTGGGAGAGATACATAGCTGGTGGATAACAGCACAAAGCCATGATGGACACCAAGGACCATACTGTCCTGTTTCAAAATTGGAGAGAGCACTTAGATTTGCTCTGAGCCCCTCTCCATACCTCTGCCATTCCTCAGGATGGAGTGTGGTGCAATACAAGTCAGGACATTAGTCACCGAGGTCAGCTGAAGTTCCTGTTAACTATGTGGAGAAATACATGTTGTGTTCTTAAAATTAAATATTTCATCTAGAAGCCAAAGATCAGGGGGTTTTTACTTCATCATTCTTCTGCATCACCCTTAAATTGTACAAGTATAATTGAGTTCTTGGCAGTTGGTTCCTCAATAAAATTTAATCATGAGAACATAAGAGGCATCTAGGTGGCCACTGTGAGGATGCAACATTGGAGTAAATGAGCCTTTGACTTGATCTAGGAGTGCTGCTCTTATGTTCTTCAAGCTGCCCCTCTGATAAAGACTGTTCCTTATAGGACCCAATGCTGATAGGATGACAGGCACCACCTTATTCTTGGTCAACAGGGAATTTTCCATTGCATTTGATAACAAACATGCACCTTGTAGAGCAGGTGTAGGGAACCTTTGGCCCTCCAGATGTTGCTAAACTATTATACCCACCTTCCCTGGCCATTGGTTGGGGCAGTTCAGCAACATCTGGAGGGTCAAAGGTTCTTCACAGGTCCTGTAGACAGAAGAAAGCAGTGGCCCTGAAATGGCAAGTATTAGATTTAGGAGAATGGAGCAGGGAGACAGAAAGTACGCTGCATCTTTTAAAGAACTCTCAGCTGGAATCACAGAGAGAAGAGAAAAACATGGAAACAGTCCAATTTTTTGCCATTTGGTTTCTCCCCCCCTCCCCACCCCCTCTGGGAACAGCACAGCTATTTATTATTCAGGAAGTGTTGCATTCAGTATGAATATCTTCAGGGACTCAAGGCCTTGAGAACAGAGGATGCTGGTTTTTAAAAAGACAATGTCTTTCATTTGCTCAGAAGTGACCTTTCAATCCAGTCGGCATAACAGACAACTCTGGAAGACCTGAATGCAAATCGGACCATCAGCACCACTGGGTATAAGCTCTGCTATGGGTTCCCAGCAGCAACATTCACCTATGTATTTTTTTTATATAAATATGTATTTTGCTTTTCTTCGCAGAGCACTCCATGAGACAAAAAACAGAAATGTACCATTACAGAGCAAATAATATAACAAAAGTCAACAGATAAAAATGGGGGTGGGTTAAAAGGACAGCCTGCTAAAACCCACATCTGGATAAGGACAGGGAACCTGCAGTTCCCATCAGCCATAGGCAGCATGAGAAACGGACAAGGGTGATGCGAGCTGAGATTCAGCAACAACTGGAGGGTTGAAGGTTCTCCAACCCTGACCAAGGTCTTAAGACACCCATGGAGCCATTATAGCAGCCTGGTTGAAGTGGATGTTTGGCCAAGGACCAAACAGGCATGAAACAAGGCATTGGCATTTTGTTTTCAAGCTCTATGGGAGGGATTTAACAAAGGAGCTTCCCCTAATGGGTCAGGTTCTGGTCTTGACCTTTAAAGCCCTTTGTGGCTTAGGGCCCTTGTATCTATGGAACCGCCTCTCCTGGTATGCTCCACAGAGGACCTTAAGGTCCGTGAATAACCATAGTTTAGAGGTCCCGGGCCCTAAGGAAGTCAGACTATCCTCCACCAGGGCCAGGGCCTTTTCAGTGATGGCTCTGACCTGGCGGAATGCTCTGTCCTATGAGACTAGGGCCCTTCAAGATTTAACCTCCTCCTATAAGACAGAGCTATTCCGCCTGTCCTTTAATTCGAATTCAGCCTGATCTTTTATTTCCCTTCTCTTCCCTCCCCCTCCCTTTTTATGAAGATCACCCACTCTGAGACCCCACAGCTAATTCTCCCCTGACCTCCTCGCTGGCCTAAGTAGGACCAATTCAGCCAGGTAGCCCTGGGGGTTATCTTTTGAATTTGAATATGATTTTTGAATTTTATTGTTATTCATGTTTTTATACTGTATTTTATGCTGCTTTTATAATTAAATGTTTTAAAGTGTTTTAAATTTGTTGTTAGCTGCCCTGAGCCCAGTTTTTGAACCAGAAAGGGTGGGGTATAAATAAAAAATTATTATTATTATTAATGCAACAGGATCAATTAGCACTAAAACAAGCCTTGTCATCCCAGGTGGTATCTGTACTGGATTTGAAATTTATTTTAGAAATGTCATTGTTTTATCCACATTTTATAGCACTGCAATTCACTGCAATAAGCCTTAGAGGAAACAATTCAGAAATAATAATAATAATAATAATAATAATAATAATAATGGCAGACAATTATGTTTCCATGAAGAGAATGGCACCTGGACTTCTTTTTTTCTTTTAAGGAAGCAGGGTATGAAATTAGATGGCTCTACTGGGGCAAGTAGGGATGGGACATTTGGTATTTGTATACCAGAGATATTGCATTGTGCATTCTCTTTCCCTTCCTACAATAGAGGTAGGTCTCAGCACTATCACTGTGTCAAAAGAATTTGCATTTTCATGAGATTTCATTCCCTGCCAATGTAGGATGTCTGTAGCTGCGACATTACAAACACAGCATCAGATTTGAATTGCAAATAGGATCCTGTTGCCTCCTTGTTGACTTTTTTCCTTCTTCTCTTCGCATCCCTTCCTATGCCAGCATGATCCTCTAAGCCTTCCTCATATATGTTCTCCACGCTCAGGTTTGCAAGAGCTGTACAAAGCAGTGGGACTTTGCACAGGATGAAGGGATGAGAATTATCAGCATGAGCTATACAGGATTTGGTTCCACATTCTCATGAAACTTTTCATTTCTATGATTTTGGTGTGTGTGTGTGTGTGTGTGTGTGTGTGTGTTTAAAAAAGGATTTTCATTTTTATGGCAAGACCCATCTGTTCCCCTGTTCTCTATTTTACACACTCCTCAGACCGGAAGATTCACACTGAGACAAACAGCAAGAGGAGCACTTGATAATATATACTGTCCACCTAAGTGAAATTGTTACTTCAAGCTGTTTGAAAGTTGAAGAACAGTTGTAAGAGATGATTGCATTACATTACAGAGGCTGGTTGTCGGGGAGAGAGGCGTTCAAGCAAGGCTTTGGTGATGGGGGTCATTTCTATTTCTGGAAGTGCAAATATGACGGATATGAGAAGAAAAGGCTTGACTTTGTCAGCTGATGTCTAGAGGACGGGCTAGAAGTTCGCTCCATCCCCTCCGTCTCAAACCTTGTATAGTGTTTGCTGCTGCAGAACGAGAAATGGAAATGATGTACATCACAATAACAAACGAAGGCTTTCTTTTTTCTCCTGATGAATATAGGTGACCTTTTATATGCTAAGTTACTATCAGGCCTGGACTGAAGGAGATGAGATTGAGGAGAAATGGTGGACATCACCCACTCCCCTTCTGAAGCTTGCAGAGAAGAGGAAGGCAGTATTGAATTACAGCAGTGGTTTGAGGAAGGTCACAGCTCAGAGACAGGAGAACAGAAGAGTTGGGAGGTGTGGGAGAAGAGAAGGCAGGGACAGAGTCAGAGCAGCCAGCTGACATGTTATCACTGGAGAGTATTTCTGACACACACACACCCGCCCAGAACTCGGCGTTCACTGAGAGTGCAAGAGCAAAGGACTCAGAGACAAATAGCCCCTGGTGGCCACCGTAAGGGGAAGTGCTGTTGCTAGAAAGGGAGGGGGAGGAGCTCAGTTGGAGCAACACCATTGTGATGGCCTGGGATTCGGACTCGGAGGCTGAACCTGAGGAATCCCAGCCTGCACAGGATTCCCCGCCTCCAGAACCAGCTGAGCTGGGGCTGGGGCATGAGCCTGAAGGGTCCTCACCTGTGCTGGATCCTCAGGTGCAGGCATCAGCTGAGTCTGCTCTGGCTCCTGAGGTGATGGAGGGCCCATTGCCTGCAGGTGCTCCACTCTCAGCCCTATCAGAGGAAGCTGTGGTTGCCTCTGGGTCTGGTAACCCTCCAGCCTCTCCTGAGCCGCAGAGGCTCAGGGCAGAAAGGCAGAGGGAACCAAGTTCCCGCAGGAGGAGTGCTCGCCTCCAGGCCAGGACTGGGGCTTCCCTATGCCTCAGGGCAGGTAAAAGCCAGCCAGCCCCAGTCCCTGGTTGCGGGAGCAACATTGTTGGTAGCCTGTTCCTGCCTGCACCCTGACCTGCTCTTCTGCCAGAGCTCCTGACCTCACCCGACTCTCTGCCTTGGACCAGCTCCACCTTTGACGGACAGCCTCCATACCGCACCCTCCACCTCGGATTGGACTCGGACCTCGCCGCATGGTTAACCCTCGGGACCAGCACAGCCATTAATGGGATACAGACTGCATTCCTTTGTCTCTCTCCGTGATGATTGAATAAACTCATTCGTAAGAACTCTTCTTTGTTTTTCTCTGCTTCTTGCTGCCACCAGGGGAGGGATAGAATTTCTCGAAGCCTGACAGTTACTTATCATTTATACTCTCATGCCCTACTGATGGGCACTGCAACTCCCATCATCCCTGGCAATTGACTGTGTGGCTGATGGTAGTTGTAGTCTAGCGAAACCTGGAGGGCACCAGTTGGGGAAAGGCTGGTCTAGCCAGCAGTGAGACTATATTTACAACCTGAAACAGGGAGACCTGTTTCCATCGGGAGCATTCTATCCTGCTATCCTACATCCAGGGTTTCTGAGTGCTCTTGAACCAAGGGCTCAGCAGTGCATCACTCTCAACTGATGTTCACAGTCTCTTCTTGTCCCAGCATAGGACAATGGTTGCTTCCTCCGCCTTGTATACTTCTCTCCCACTGACACCTGAAGTTTTAATAACAGACAGCCCTATGAAACCACACACACACACACAAGAGTCCTAATACCTGTTATATCTTGCTCTTGCCTCCCTTAACATATTTCTTTAACCTCTCCACTACTTCACCCCGATTTCTGACCAGTGTAAATGAAACATGGCAGAATTCATTCCTCTACTTACAGGCAAGTGGCCTAACAACTGCTACAACACACACTGTGGGAAGTTGTTGTTTAGTCATTCAGTCGTGTCTGACTCTTCGTAACCCCATGGACCAGAGCACGCCAGGCACTCCTGTCTTCCATTGCCTCCCGCAGTTTGGTCAGACTCATGCTGGTAGCTTCGAGAACACTGTCCAACCATCTCGTCCTCTGTCGTCCCCTTCTCCTTGTGCCCTCAATCTTTCCCAACATCAGGGTCTTTTCCAGGGAGTCTTCTCTTCTCATGAGGTGGCCAAAGTATTGGAGCCTCAGCTTCAGAATCTGTCCTTCCAGTGAGCACTCAGGGCTGATTTCCTTCAGAATGGATAGGTTTGATCTTCTTGCAGTCCATGGGACTCTCAAGAGTCTCCTCCAGCACCATAATTCAAAAGCATCAATTCTTCAGCAATCAGCTTTCTTTGTGGTCCAGCTCTCACTTCCATACATCACTACTGGGAAAACCATACCTTTTTGTGGGAAGTTAGTCATTGGCAAATGGTTATCTGTGTTTGCCCATAACGTGTCACTCCAGAATCCTTGATGGTTAGCCTTGGTTCCTACTTGTTGCTACCCCTTGAATGGCCCATCAGAGGCGAGCTTCTTTCTGTGAAGGACCATCTGAGCACTTGATCTTTCTCTCCTGATTCAGTATCATAGTAAATCAGCACCTTGGACAGCGAACAGCAGGGGAAGCAATGTAGAGGAGATTTAAGCTTAAGTTTGGTAATGGAAAATGAATCGGAAACCTGTGGCCCTGCAGTAGTTGTTGAACTACAACTCCCATCATCTCCATCCAGCATGGCCAATGGTGAAAGATAATGAAAGTCCAGAGTTTCCCTATTTATGCCTAATGTATTTTGGCTCTAATATGGTCCTAATCCCCTGTGTTTGGTCTAAGCCAGCAGTTCTCAACCTATGGGTCCCCAGATGTTGTTGGACTACAACTCCCATCATCCCTGAGCTCTGGCCTTGCTAGCTAGGGGTGATGGGAGTTGTAGTCCAACAACATCTGGGGACCCACAGGTTGAGAAAGGCTGGTCTAAGCAAAGAGGTGGATATATGACTAGGGCTAATAAAACCCTCAAATGACAATTCCATGAAGTCTTACTTGGCAGAAAAGAAGTGGAACCCAGCAGCAGATCTAGGTTATTCCAGCCCCCACCCCTGGCATGATGAGTCCACAGTCTCGATTTAGTGGATTCATAACCCTTAAACCTCTGTGCCAACTGGAGCGGGAGGAACTCAGCAAATCAGAAGTAAAGTCTGAAGCAACTACTGATTTCTGGTGGAGAGAGACATGTCCACTGCTAACTAGGAAATGGTCCAATGAGTTTTGGCACCTGAGGCAGGATATCTAAATAGACCTTCCCCGCATAGTGGCAAAGTTGTGATAATAAAGTAAATAACTGGGGATCAGCTGCCCTTTAATAGTGTCCCCTAATCTGGACCCTAAGATAGCCTATTATAGGATAGAGACGGACCTGAAACTAACCCCATCCCTCCACACACACACACACACACACACACACACACACACACTATATTGTATCATCTTCAACTCCTCCAAGACTAACCCTCCTGTATGAGAAGATAATATTTTATTCTGCAATCTGTCTTCCCAGATATATTTCCCCCCAACTCTTATTCTGCTGATCCTTGCCTCTAATCATTTCTTTTAAAATAAATAAATCATTATGCAGTAGGAAGGGGGGAGCTAATACCCTACCCTAAGGAAAGATAACGAAAGTGACAATCTTGGAAACCTCTACACAACTTATTCATATCAGCCGATCGTATCATTGATTATTTGTGGAGATGCCAAAGACACAGAACTATCAAGCGACGAGGGGGGACCACGTAATTAATTTCAATGGGGATATATGTGTATGGTTTCTCTCCGCAATTAACAATTAGATGTGCTTTTGTGAAGGTCACCTTGTTAACACAATAAACTCGGCCACAACACCCCGTCTCTTATTAATTCTCGGCAGAGCTGCACTTTCTGAGATCTTCCTCTGGTTTCTCTTTTTAGTATGGGAGGCTTGAGTCCCACTAACAAGCACCAATTTTCAAGTGCCCTTCGGAGTAATCTGGTCACACATGAGAGCTGCTGCGTTAACCAGAGTGTTTGCCATTCTGAATGTAAGTGTCTTTGTACTTAAAGTTCGGTCTTAGAAATCAGGACACTTACCTTCTAACATAACTCATTTCACATAATAGTGTTACCGTTTGTGATGCGCAGATGCCCCCGATACAAAATAATCATATATTTATAGCATAGGCTCGAGTGCTGCCTAAGACTGTGAGCTGGGAAGTTGAAGCTGAAAGAATATCCCCCCCCCCATTCAGAGATAGCCAATGTAGTGATATGCAAACGTTGTTGGACTACAACTCCCATCATCCTTAAGACGGAGATAGTAGCCAGGTCTCTGCAGCACGCAATTCTGGATCACGGCCTTGGGGATCCTGCCATGTTCCATTCTGTGAACATGACCAAGCCTGCATAGATGTCACTGAGACAGGAGTGTGAACATGCTGGGAATGTGGGCTTGGGAGAGCACATCTTGTTTGAAATTGTCCCACAGCTTCTGAAGTCACATATGTTGTTGTTGTTGTTTAGTCATTTAGTCGTGTCCGACTCTTCGTGACCCCATGGACCAGAGCACGCCAGGCACTCCTGTCTTCCACTGCCTCCCGCAGTTTGGTTAAACTCATGCTGGTAGCTTCGAGAACACTGTCCAACCATCTCGTGCTCTGTCGTCCCCTTCTCCTTGTGTCCTCCATCTTTCCCAACATCAGGGTCTTCTCCAGGGAATCTTCTCTTCTCATGAGGTGGCCAAAGTATTGGAGCCTCAGCTTCAGGATCTGTCCTTCCAGTGAGTACTCAGGGCTGATTTCCTTAAGAATGGATGCGTTTGATCTTCTTGCAGTCCATGGGACTCTCAAGAGTCTCCTCCAGCACCATAATTCAAAAGCATCAGTTCTTTGGCGATCAGCCTTCTTTATGGTCCAGCTCTCACGTCCATACATCACTACTGGGAAAACCATAGCTTTAACTATACGGACCTTTGTTGGCAAGGTGATGTCTCTGCTTTTTAAGATGCTGTCTAGGTTTGTCATTGCTTTTCTCCCAAGAAGCAGGCATCTTTTAATTTCGTGACTGCTGTCACCATCTGCAGTTATCATGGAGCCCAAGAAAGTAAAATCTCTCACTGCCTCCATTTCTTCCCCTTCTATTTGCCAGGAGGTGATGGGACCAGTGGCATATACACAAATACACACACATGAACACAGGCTGTCCCTGATCTGGGTGGCTCTTCTCTCAAACTGAGCGCCCCACCCCGGTTCCTGCAATCCACCAAACCCTCTGACTTCATTTTTAGACGGACTTTGGAAACTTTTCTTTTCTGGAAGACTTTTTCCAATGCCTGATTTATGCGCTTTTTATATTGGTTTTGCCAGTTTTATGCTGACGCATGCAGATGCGTGATTGATTTCCATTGTTGTCCTATCGTTATGGCCGCTCTTGATTTGTTAGCCACTTTGGAGCCAATTAATTTTTTTTAAGTGGGATATAAATGGATTAAAATAAATTAATAAATCAAAAGGCTCACCTGTTTTTCACAGCTTTTGCTACGGTTCACTGCAGTAGTGCTTGTCGAGCATTTTGAAGTGCCGTTATTACCATTGGCAAAGAAGCTGTGCTATAAAGACTTCTTCGGGAATTTATTTTATTTTATTTTTTTAAATAAATCCCTTAGTTCTGAGCTTCCCTAGGGCCAGTTCCAACAGTGATAGTGGGAGATCCTGTCTACACAAGAGGGGACTATATGCTGTGCATGCAGGAGATCCCTAGTGTAATCTCTCCAGCTGGGGATGGTATTCTGGAAAGTCACTGCCACTCAGATAGAAAGTCTCAGCTTGGTGGAACATTGGTCTGACTCTATAAATTCTATATTCCATGGGCCTCAGGCTAGCAACCAGGATTGTGTCTGTGTTTGTAGCTATGCCAAACAATCAGCAAGCACCCCAGCCAGCTGTTTGTTGATAAGAGGCAAGAGGACTTAAACCTAGCTTTTTACTGCTGCTTTTCTAATAGGGCTACTGTTTTGCAAAGTGAAGGTTACAGGTTCAATTTTGGAGAGCAAATGCCAGCCAATGTAGTCATTGGACTACTGAGATGCGCTCTAAGTGGGGCTACCTTTGAAGGTAACTTAGAAACTACAAGTAATCCAGAATGCAGCTGCCAGATGGGTGACTGGGAGTGGCTGCCAGGACCATATGACACCAGTCTTAAAGGATCTACATTGGCTCCCAGTACATTTCCGAGTCTAAGTCAGTGTCGGTGCTGACCTTTAAAGCCCTAAATGCCCTTGGCCCTATATACCTGCAGGAGCATCACCAATCTCATCGTTCAGCCTGGACATTGAGATCCAGCTCTGAGGGTCTTCTGGTGGTTCCCACACAGTGAAACGTGAAGCTACAGGGAACCAGGCCTTCTCGGTAGTGGCACCCAACCTGTGGAACGCCCTCCCATCAGATGTCAAGGAAATGAACAACTATCTGACTTTTGGAAGACATCTGAAGGCAGCCCTGTATCAGGAAGTTTTTAATGTTTGATGTCTTACTGTGTTTTCATTTTTTGGAAGCCGCCCAAAAAATAAATTGTTGTTGTTGTTGTTAATTATCGGCAGTCTGGTGCACTGTAAGGCAACACCTTATCTTTCATCTCCCTGAGCGGAAGATGAAGACTGTACACACATTCAGATCTGTACAGCCTTTATGTAAAAATAAAAATAAATCAATGTTCTGAATTTGTTTCAGCTAATATCATCACCATCACCATTGTCAAAAGCCTTTAACAGCCTGGAACCAGTTTGCTTGAAGGATCACCTTACCCCATATATGCCCATTTGACCACTTCAGTCTGAAAAACTGACGTTTTGACAAGTCCCATAAAATGTTCATTCTGCCCTTGTAAGGAAACAGTCTTTTAGTGTGGCAGTTCCTACACTCTTGAATTGCCTGCTCAGGCATCTTCGCTGTATTCCTTTTGGTGCCTGCTTTTTGGCAAGGCTACCCTAAGTTTACCAGATTTTTTTCAATGATTCTGGGGACACTTTTCAACTTCAGTAGGAATGATAGGATTTTGTATGGGGACTGATTTGTAAATCCGAGGACTGTCCCCAGGAAACGGGGACATCTGGTAACCTTAGGCTAGCCAAACATAAAGTTGTCGTGTATTTTATGTAATTTTAGCTTATACTGTATATTTCTAACTAAGGGATTTTATTTGTGTCTTGATTTCTTTAAAAATTCTTGTAACTTTGATTTTCATCGACAATTTTAAAGCATGTTTTATCTTCTTTGTAAACTGCTTAGAGATTTTATTTACAACTTAGTGGCATAGAAATTTTGTCGAATGAATAAATTATTATTCCTGTTGAAGGATCAACCTCTTGATGCCAGCCCAAATACATAACCAAATGCACATTTCACTTACAATGCACAGCGTGCTAAGATTCAATAGCCTCAAAGCAAGTCACAATTTCATAGAAGATTTCAGAATAAAAACCTTACTGAGACAGCTGAAGTTAGAGGGCTCTTATACTTATCATGTCAGGGTTTTAAAATAAATAAATAAAAAGATGCTGCGTTCGAGGCAGAGGGGTGAAAACAGAAAAATGTGTTGGACTACCTTTGCTTTTTTTGAAAAAATGTCATTCTATTGTGTTCATAGGAAATGCTGTCATGTTCTTTTCGAAATGTAGGCCCACATCACAGAAATGTCCTCCTTTCCTCGATTGCTTTTTTTGTGCATATGCCAAATGCTGGCATGCGGGCCACCCTGAGGGAATAGTATTTCAGCTCCAGAAATTTGTTAACATAAGGCTGAGCATGTACCATGCCCTTATTATGACAGCTTGTTCAAAAATGGAAAAGGCGAGACAGAACTGAGAGAAAAAGTTCCTAGCTCTCGCTTCAGCTACATATGCTTAGCCCCAAGAATACAGCAATCCAAGAAGCCAGCCAGCTTTCATGTTGGCGGCTCATAAGACTATATAACAAAGGACTTCCATGTTCACCTTTGTGCTTACTGTTCCTGTGGCAGAAGTTTTCAGACTGTGTTCTGGGAAACTTAGTAGATTCGTAATGGCAAAATAAGTTTCCACGAAAGGCTTAGCTATACACACACACACACACACAAGCACGCACATCTAATCATCTCCAAAAATGTACAACCAAAGCATTGGGCACTACCAGAATATGGCCCTCAAGAGGTTACCAATACAAGAATGAGACCCTCAGGCTGAAAAGCTTTCACCACCCTTGGCCTAAATGGACTCTGGAACTTGAATTTTGCGGAGTTGTTGAGAATGCTCTTAAGCCCTTTCCCTGCATTACAGATGTGGCGTTTGCCTGTTCGTTTAGAAAATGTTTGAACAGGGGGGAGAGATAGGGTTAAAAATATAGACCAATAAGAAAGCGGAGCCTACCTGTGTATAAAAGGGCTTAGCCCAAGGTTTGAGTTAGTTGTTGTTGGGAGTTGTTGGTGGGTAGTTGATTGGTTTTAGTGGTTTGGCTGGTTGGGAAAGGCAGTTGGAGAAGCAGTTGGCAGGCAGTTGGAAATAGAGAGACAGTTAGGGCAATGGGTTCTTGAGTGAGGAGAGGTAGAAGAGATAGAGAGTGGGAAATAAGACTAAGAAAGTAAAGAGTAACAATGTTTGGAGTGCCGTAAAAGTTTGTTTGTGTCTGAAATAAAATGCACTCTTCTTTATTTACTTGAGAACCTGACTGAGACTGAAGTGATTTTACCAGGGAGGACCTGGTTGGTGGCAGCGGATTAGTGGTGTACGGGTCAATAGTCTGTGAGACGACCAGGGGCTCCGTACGAACGCCACAACAACTCTCAAGGTTCTTTGGTGTCAGGGACTGGTTGGATGAAAAAGAGTGATGGGAGCCTTCCTCCCAAGACAACCCACACACCCCCACACACACACACACACAAAGGAAGATGACACAAAGCCTGGAGCCTGGTGGTGGGACATTGAGGAGCAGTCAGCAGAAGGGATGAACTGGGAGCTGTTACAAGCAGGAGACTTGAGTGATCAAGGGGGCGTTCAGGAGACAGAGGTCTTCCAGGACAGGATTAGAAGCTGAGAGTCACAGCATGTGCACAGACAGTATCAGTCCTGCTGACTCTCCTCCCCCTCTGACTCCCCGCTTGAGGAGGATCCTGCACATTGCTGAGCAATGCACCAGACACACCCAGAGAAGGAGACCACCCACACCCACCCTAATGCAACCTTTGTCTGCTTGGGAAGGATCCAGAGTGAGAGGTTAGAAGGGGAAGGGCATGCCCAGAGCTCAGTTTCTGCAATGCCTTCATTGAGTTAAGATGAACCAGTGACATTGCTATATTGTTGTTGTTTTTATGCTTATAAAAAGCTAATTGCATTCCATGCCTTCCGTGTGTGTGCCTGCCCTGTGGATGACCTGGCTTGTTGGCAGCCCCTTGACACCTGGTAAAAGAGCAGTTGTTAAACTTGCATAGGCATGTATCACATTTGTCTACATCTTTGGTATCATTCAATATGGCCACAGAAAGAAATGTCATCTCTTTACCAACCATGCTTTTATTTCCCGCCAAATGGCCAGCATGCTGCAACAGAGAGACATCAACCCAAATCTGATCTAGTTGTCCCTTAAAAGGGGGGAGGGGGTCATTTGGCAAATTTCAAATCGCACCTCACAGGAAGATAGGAAGCTGTCATATATCAAGTCAGATTGCTGATTCATCTAGCTCAGTGGTTCCCTGGGGTTTCCAAAAGGGTTTCTTCCAGCCATAGAACGTGGGTGGCGCTGTGGTCTAAACCACTGAGCCTCTTGGGTTTGCTGATCAGAAGGCCGGCGGTTTGAATCCTCGTGACAAGGGTGTGCGCCCGTTGCTCTGTCCCAGCTCCTGCCAACCTAGCAGTTCAAAAGCATGCCAGTGCAAGTAGATAAAGAGGTACCACTGTGACTGGAAGGTAAGTGGCGTTTCTGTGTGCTCTGGCTTCCATCACGGTGTTCTGTTGCGCCAGAAGCAGTTTAGTCATGCTGGCCACATGACCTGGAAAGCCTTCCGTGGACAAATGTCAGCTCCCTCGGCCTGAAAGTGAGATAAGTGCCACAATCCCATACAGTGGTACCTCAGGTTACATACGCTTCAGGTTACAGACTCAGCTAACCCAGAAATAGTGCTTCAGGTTAAGAACTTTGCTTCAGGATGAGAACAGAAATTGTGCTCTGGCAGCACGGCGGTGGCAGGAGGCCCCATTAGCTAAAGTAGTGCTTCAGGTTAAGAACAGTTTCAGGTTAAGTACGGACCTCCGGAACGAATTAAGTACTTAACCCGAGGTACCACTGTAGTTTGACTGGACTTAACCGTCCAGGGGTCCGTTACCTTTACCTCTTCCAGCTGCACCTGGAGTTGTTGAGGATTGAACCTGAGAGGTTCTGCATGCAAGACAGATGTTCTGCCACTGAGCTATGGTTCTTCCTTCCGCTCTTTGCCCTTGTTCTGACCTTTATATAATCTCAGCCTTTCTGCAAGGCAATTTGTAGAACATGCTCCACCAGCTCTCGGGACTCCTGCACCACAGAGAAAGTGGGACCTGCATGTCCTTCAACATCACTCCTTGCAAGGAACAAAGGCTTTTTTAATGTGCAAAGGACTTCTTAACAGCTATGTTTCGAGTAAGCTAGTATTTTTAAAAAAAAAATCTAGAGAAATTATGCATAAATTTGTTTCTCCTGCCAGTGGAGATTCTGAACACCCCGAGGCAGCTCGTTTTTGCAGAGTGCTTGCTGTCAAGAAGCAATGAAGTGCAAATGGAAGCCAATTGAACTTAGCAATTTGTTTACCCGCGAAGACAACAGCTGGAGAAAAATGGAGGATTTTAATAATTAGCCAGTCACATTAGATAAGGGACACACGAGTATATGATCTCACATTATAATAAGGATACTGCTGCAAAGGGATTAGACAGAATTAGTAATTAACCTCCTTCAAGATCAAAAATGTGTCTCAGTGGATCTGCAGAGGGCTGGAGACGAGCTGCGCTTAGCCCAAAATAGTACACTTTGTTGGCTTTCCTGACCCCTCTGGCAGTTTTGTACTTACAGTTCTCAATATTAATATGAAAAATGAACTCCAACAGACCCACTTTTTCTTTTCTCGCCCAAAGAGAAAACTTCATCAGAACAGGAACAAATACCTCTTGATGATCTATCAGGAATCCTAAGACATTCAAATGGAGCACGTCACACATCTACACTCCCCCCCTCAAAAAAAAGCCCCCCTCCCCAATACACAAACCAAAATGCAGTTATCCTTTGAAACTCCCAATGTGTGCATTAGAGGAGAGTGTACCTTACTTAGGCATCTGTTCACGAAAATGACAGGCGAAAGCGAATTCTGTTACGGGAAATTGCTTGGCAAAATCTGCATATTAGGCAAAATTGCATACAAAATTTAGATCTTTGGGAAAATGTGGGATTCTCATGAGGACTTTTTAATTTTCATATTAAAAAAAACAAACGCAGTTTGGTGCAGAAATGTGAAGCGAACTTCAGTTTGGGAAAACGGAGAGAATCCAAACTAAACAGGTTCATCCATCCTTACTCATTAGCAACAGTTTCCAAGATGACTGAAAATGCTTTGGGAGATTTCACTTCCCTCAGTACAAACACATTTCTTATGTATTATATAGGAGGGGTGGTTTTGTGTGGGTGGTTTTGTTTTTTTGCAGGACTGGGGAGGGGGTTCTGAAACACTCACTAAAACCTCTTTGCCCAACAAACAAGCAGTTGACAGAAATAAGGAATGTGTTACCTGCCCTGCTCTTAAGGCATAAGATTGCTTAGCAAACAACATCATCTTGCTTTCCTTCTTTTTATAGCTGCTTGCAGCCGGCTTCAGGATCCTTTGTAGGGAGGGAGCTTGAAAATCTTGCAAGTGATTCCACAGCCATCAGGCTACAGGAGAGGGAGAGGGAGGACTGCAGGGTTTTTCTATTAGTTCTCCTGAAAAAACAGCAATGTTTGGCTCCTTCTCACCAAACCTTTCCATCCCAGCTGGTGGTCACTACAAGGACTCTGTACCTAACAGTGCCTGAGGTTGTTTTCCCACCTTCCACCCTCCCAGTTCCATTTCCTTTTGTGTGGTGCATCTTAGATTTAAGCCTGAGGGCAGGAGCAGTCAGATCACTGATATATGTAAGTCGCTGTGGGAGCCTCTATTTCTTCAACTTAAGAGTGGGATAAAAGATTTATTCTACTTATTTATTTCAAAGTTTGATCTGTTCTTTTCTGAAACATAACAAGGTGGCTTACAAATAAAATACAATAAAATCAATCTATAAATATATATAAAATGCAATTTAAAACAGCAGCAGATATGGGTTGTTTTAGAGAGAAAAATATATTGTGAAGGCCTGTCTAAATAGTACAGGTTTCAGAAGACATCAGTCTGTCTCTGCTAAAGCAGATCCTCCAAGTGTCCCTATTTTCCGGGGACAGTCCTGGATTTACAGAAGCTGTCCTGGTTTTTTATTTGATCTCAGAATGTCCCTCTTTTCCTTAAAGGTAAAGGTAAAGGGACCCCTGACCATTAGGTCCAGGCGTGGCCGACTCTGGGGTTGCAGCGCTCATCTCGCTTTATTGGCCAAGGGAGCCGGCGTACAGCTTCCGGGTCATGTGGCCAGCATGACTAAGCCGCTTCTGGTGAAGCAGAGCAGCGCATGGAAACGCCGTTTACCTTCCCGCTGGAGCGGTAGCTATTTATCTACTTGCGCTTTGATGTGCTTTTGAACTGCTAGGTTGGCAGGAGCAGGGACTGAGCAATGGGAGCTCACCCCGTCACGGGGATTCGAACCACCGACCTTCTGATCAGCAAGCCCTAGGCTCTGTGGTTTAACCCACAGCGCCATGGGAGGGTATGGTAGGAAGTCCCTATTTTCATCAGACATGGAGTTATGCTACATCATCACCCCTCTGAGCCAAGGAGATAAGTAACTATACAATTTTAGAAGACATCTGAAGGCAGGGAAGTTTTTTTAAAAAAATGTTTGATGTTTATTATATTTTTATATATGTTGGAAGCCAACCAGAGTGGCTGAGGTAACCCAGTCATATGGAAAGGGTATAAATAATAAAATTGTTCTTGTTGTTGTTGTTGAGGAATAGAACGTCCCTATTTTCATTGCAGAAATGTTGGAGGGTATGCTAAAGTTCTGCAGCCAGGGCATGGCCTCCTACACTAAAAACTCAGTCCCTAGTGGGGGGCAACCAAACATCAGAGGTGTCAGGAACCACCAGGTTGGATTCCATGACAAGGAAAATTCTGCTTCCTAAGGCCTGTGTCAGAGACCAGGCTGAGGAGTACTGCTCTGATGAGGAATGGTGGGAGCCTCCCCGCCCCCCGGCTCCTGAACAGGATCCTCAAGCTACCCAGGAGCAGTGGAGCGGTATAGATTTGGACAGTGGTTTGCAGAGGGGCATAGTTCTGAAGACAAAAGTTGGGAAGAACTGGGTTGTGAACAGCAAAGTGAAGAAGAACTGGAAGAGAGAGAGCTAACAGACTCTCTCACTGGAAAGGGTCCAGCCTATCAGCCCAAGGTCAGGTAGAGCAGATAAGGTGGCTACACAAAAGGCATGGTGGTTGCGAGATCAGGTTGCAAGACTTGGAAGTGACATGGGGGGAAGGGGGTGGAACCGTAAGTGAGAACACCTTTGTTCCAAGAATGGATGCTTTGTTCTTTTGCTGTGATCATTAAAGACTCTTTAAATGGTAAGCAACTCTTTTCACTTTGTCCTGCTTTGCTACGGCCA